GTCAGTGAATTCTCATCAAACATTAAATCTTACCAAAAATATTACTGATTTCTCATCGGACATTAGTGGTTTTATAAAAATATTATCTTACTTCGACGGTCCAACAATTCAGTGCCTGACAAAGCTAGCTAGCTTCCCGATAACTGTATGTATATCGACTTCAAGTTAACTCGCTGGATATCAAGGAGACTTTGAACTAGGAAGACGATTTTAGGCTATTTGTAAGTTAATGAAATTTCTGTTTATGAAACTTGGTTTGTAATAATTAATCATAATAGTTGTTATTGTAACTTGTACTGTTGTATATATATATTAAAACGTATTTGTGTCAAAACGAAAAACGGCGTGAATCAATCTTGTTGGCAAATAGCGTAAATAAAATAAAGTCTCGGCATATTCCTAAACACTAAATCCAGGGTACAGTTCAACTATTAAAAGTTAAATTATTTAACGCGGCTTTGGATTATTTCAAATTCTAAATACGTAACAGTGTTTAAAATATAATAGGCCTTATACTATTGTCTTATGACAAGTATACCCATTTAAAAATCACCGGTTGCTTTGTCGGATTTTACATCGAAATGAATTCATAAATTAGTTTGAGGGAGAGGTATTATTTTTAGCATTCGGAAATGCTTTAAGTTGACGAATCTGGCTAAATATAGCTGAGTACATTTAAGGGATATTTGGAAGAATCTCTATCTCGCGACATCCCACGTCAGATAACAAGAGATCAACAGAATGTATGATTAAATTATGTTACAGATATCTTGATTATTATATGACTAGTCAGAGAGAAAAAGAAGTAATTTGTGAGATGTTAAGTAAATATATACTTTAACCTTAATGTCGTTTGTTATTTTCGTAGTTTCAAGACTTTGATTTTATGGAGATTTTCCAAACACAAATCTGTTGCTACTGTCTTGGAAGATAGATATGAAAATTACACCCGTAATTGTTTTTTCATTTTTAAAGTCGGGGAACAAATATTACCTTACAAAAATTACATTTCATCTTTCTTTCCTCTAGAATTGCGAAAATTTCACCGTTGTTCCAAAATTTTTAAACTTTTAAATCTGTCAATATTATTATTAGTCTTAAAAATAATACGCTCTATCGTAAAACTCAATGAATATTTTTTAAATCATGAAATTCGCACAAATAAATACGAGACTGAATAAAGAAAGTAATGTTTAAAAATACATAAACTTTATAAGATATCAATGTTTTCAGAACTTTAAATTATTATTCCATGCTTTGCCGGAAAATCACCATAACATTTAATACAAACTTGAACATTTAAAAATTTGTTCAGCGTTGTATTATTCGTCACATCTCATGGCTAAAGAGAAAGCGTAACCCTGTAGTTGTCCACCAATCTTTGATTGAAATGAAATGACACATTTATTTACTTACTTACTTTGTATTACTTATACAATAAGAACAGAAATATTTATTAACGAAAATACATAAATATGATAATTAACTTTAAAAAAATATCAGGCTTAAAATACTATACAACTTTTACAAGACAGTGTTAAAACGCATATAAATATTGTAACACTGTGTATTACTCTGTACTGTTTAATACTCTCAAGCCTCTATAAAACAAAAATATGTATTCAAATGCTGCTATACAACTTTCATAAAACAGAGTTAAAACAATACACAACAAACATTGAGTGATTCACATATTAAAAAGCGTAGTACGATTCTCACCTTGTTGCGCACATCCGATTTCGTGTACTTACACCATTACCGCAGGACCGACTACACTCAGACCAGTGAGCGCTAGAAGCGTGTAAATCTGTGGAAGGAACTTGATTTCGGTGAGAAGGGGTTTCTAGTATGACCTGCGTGTAAGATTTAAAAAAAAAGACAGAATTATAAAAACTTCTGTGAATTAAAAAACAGACGCTATAGCTACAAGTTTGTTTATTTCAAATATTATTCGCAAAGCTATCCGTCCCTAATTTTGAAGTGATAGACTGGAGGGAGGAAAGTTAGTCAACATTACCTATCGCCAACTCTTGGACTACTCTAATCGAATAGCGGGGGTTGATTGTCACTCTGATATAATGCACACACTCCCCCAAGGTGCGGAGTGTAATTTTATACTAAGAGAAAGCGAGTCAAGGATACAAAGATTCACAATTCGGCACGACTACCATTAAGCCACGACCAACTCTAGCTGTTAGTGAAACGATAGAACAGATATTTCCGCCATATTAGGAAGTATCAAGTTTTGATAGTTTATTATAAATAAATTCCATCTTACTTGGAGGCCCAGCATGGCCAGGTGGTTAGGGAGCTCGACTCACAATCTGCGGGTCGCGGGTTCGAATCCCCGTCACACCAAACATGCTCGCCCTTTCAGCCGTGGGGGCGTTATAATGTGACGGTCAATCCCACTATTCGTTGGTAAAAGAGTAGCCCAAGAGTTGGCGGTGGGTGGTGATGACTAGCTGCCTTCCCTCTAGTCTTACACTGCTAAATTAGGGACGGCTAGCGCAGATAGC